AAACCCCAATATGCGCCAATATATTTATATTTAATCGTAAATTAATTGCTACAATAAATTGTACACTCCTAATAAATTAGTTCACTTAATGCTGACATATTTATTTGTCATATGCTTCTTTATCCTTTTTGAATTATTAGTATTCTGGCAAACCAGATAATAGTTTATTTTTCAACAAAATACTGAATCCGCTATCAACATATTTATAATTAAAAATAAATTTAAGTCCCTTAAAAGATGAGTGATTTATTATTCCCAAAACATGCACAAAACCAATTAATTAAAAAATTAAAAGCCAGCAAATGTATAATGCATTTAGATAATTATTCCTTTTTACTTCTGAAGATTTTAAGTCCGTTGCCAACAACTGCAGTGATTACACTCTCGGAAAAACTCCCCCCATTTTAAAACATTTAAAAAACATGTTGAAATTGGCAAATGGAAATGGAGGCGAGGCGCCCAGACAAAACCGATTTACGATTGTACAATTTAATTTGCGCCCGGCTCATTTACGCGCCATTGCGCCAAACAATTCCATGTACTTCAGGCCATATCTGAAAATTGCCGGATTGCCGGACTGAGGATGCAAATGGATGGCGGTGGCAATGGCAGTTGCAGTTGGCCAGCTGCCGCGGAGCCGAAAGAAAACGGAGGCGCAACCAATGCCACATGCCAAAAGTTAGGCTTAAAAAGGGGAAGGGGAAGGGAATGGGGTAATGCGAATATGGTTGTGGCAGTTGCAGTTGCTGTTGCCGTGGATTGGATGTTGCAGTTACCGCCGTGGATGTTGCACTTGTTCCAAAAATACACGACGACGACGACGGTTCAGGCCAACAAACAAAACAGAAACAGAGGGAGCAAAACACAGAAATTGCACTTGGCACGCTTCCATTTTTGGCCAACTTGCCTTTGTCTTTGGTTTTGTTTTTGTTTTTGTTTTTGTGCCCCCCATTCGAGGACTGCAGTAAAAATTGTTTTCCTTCTTTTCCGGCCGGCTATGTGTAATCCTCAGCGCTTGCCAATAAACACGAGACTTGACTTTTCATAGCTTTGGGTCGGCACATTAATATTCAGGATGTCCGCCGCTGGCCTCAGTGCACTCGACTAGGTTTTATTACTGATTTACTTTGAGGGTATACTGCTTTTTAGGGTAGTTATATAACAAATAGGTCTATATAAATTGCAAAAGTTTCCCACAAATAATAAAAAGCAGGCGTGTAAACTGCACAAGTTGTATATTTTTATTTATAGAGTTAAAATTCTTCTTATCAGTTGAAAGTATGTTTAATAAATCGTATATTTATTATTACAAAAATATAATTTTATTTTTGTATGATGACAAAAGAAAACTCCCTAAATGAAATAATTTTGTAAATTACTGATTTGTTAAAATTTGATAAAAAAAAATCCCAACTACCCTTGAAACTATAACTTTCAAGGGGCAGGCAACACATTTCCCAAATTGCACACGACGACAGGTATCTAATATTCGGATGGCGAAAGTACACCCATTTTTCCTGGCCTTTTTTTTTGAGCCGGGCAGCCATTTGGGTGCCATCGAATCCATCGCAGCGATAATTGTGACACGTCGCTGGCCAAAAATCGATGCTGACCCAGTTCAAAGCGGCGGAATAAAATACCGGAGAGACAATGGCGGGGGGATAAGGACGAATGCGACAGCCAGGACGAACATGAGGATGAGGAGAGGGATGAGGAGGAGAATAAGGATGAGGACTAGGACACGACAGACTGGGCAAACATTTGCGCCTGACGCGCGGATATTATTGGCATTAAGTTGCAACTTGGGTCGCGGTTGTTCAAATGTTTGATTTCCACTTAGCCGCTTCGCCGCTTTGTCTTCCGCTTTGACTTTGACGGTTCTTTTCTCTTTTTCTCTCTGTGCAGAGATTAATGTGTCGCCAATTAAACGAATGGGTATGTCAATAAATCCTTGATGGCGAAAGTTTCCCATAATGTTATGGCCGTAATCTGATATTAAACACACATTTCTTCGAATCGGATTTAATGTTATGCCCAGATGATCAACCGATTTGTATTCCTCCTCCAATCTCTAATCCAAAATCCATGAGGTCATATACGATTTTGTCGTCTGTGAACCAATTTCATTTTTAATTACCATAATCTATTGTATAAATAAACATGAGTTGACTTGGTTTTGCGTTATGAGAATTATTATGCTGCAATTGCCTTTTTTGGCTTCGAGTCTTGTAAAATTTAGCGCAGACAAATCTCGATCTAATGGTCGCCAGTCCAGTTCTGTGAAGCCCACTCACTCGGGGAACTCCCACTCGGTGCCAAATTTCTGGCACAGTCGAGCGAAATTTATAGCAAAATATCTAGAAAATACACAGATCCGAATACGAATCCGAATCAAAGTTCGTTCAGCCACCACATTTTCGAACAATGACGTTATGCCACCGGCTGTTGACTGTTTGTCTGCAGTAAAATGGAAGCGAATCCAAAATCAACTCGACTTGGGAGTACCTATACTATATATACAATTCGATTTTGTGATTGGTAAAAAAATACGCATACGCACTGTTGTCAAGTACAATGTATAAATCAGATTTATCAATATGTACAATATATACAATTAAATTTTGAGATTGGTAAAAAATACCCATACGCACTGTTGTCAAGTGCAATGTTAAAATCAGATATATCAATATGTACAAGGGTTAAAAAAAAAAAGAAAATTATAATATAAACCCCTTTCAATGTTATAATTAAATTCTTTAATATGTTAAGAAAGATATAAATAAATTAAATACATTTTTTCCAGAGCAAACTCAAACCAATATTATTTAAATAATAAAATCGGATTAACTTGATTGCTTAATCTTTTGCATATGCGGTTTAATTTACATAATTACCTTTAGAGAAATATATAAATAAATTGAATAATGTTTTTCATCCCAAACTCACACCAGTAAAAATATATTAATACAAACATGAGGTTTTCTCAATTAAATCATTTATTGCATATGCAGCTTAATCTGCATATTTACTATTAAATGACTGCCATTCTCGGAAAATACAATAAAAGCTTGTTAAACATTAGAATACTTTACAAAATAAAACCATTAAACACACTTGTCTCTTTCTCCATTTTTTTTTCATTCACTGGTTTTCCCCGATTAGCAGTTTTTTTATGGCAACTCGAAATGCCTCGACTAAAGAAACCGCTAAAGGGTATTAAAATCCGTAGGTCGTCGTCTCTGTTGGCGGCAAAAACAGAAACAGCAAAAAAAAAAAAGCAGAAAACCGGTCTTCGGTTACTTGGAAATGAATCTATGCGTAGTATAAAAAAAAAACACACTCTCGCATATAGTATTTCTTTTAAAGCGCAAGCAACAGAACAGTAAGTGTTTGTTTATTGCAAAACACAACCCAAATAAAGGAGAGAGACCCCGAAAAAAAGCGACACACTTAAGCAAATTACCGAAAATACAAACCAAATTAACAAATTCACAGGCGGAGCAAGTGAAGTTTCCGAGAAAAGAGTAAAAATCGAGGGAACCTCCGACCCAACGATCACGAATTAGCTGGCTGCTGTTTACAACCAACGAACGATGATGATGATTCAAACTCTGAATTCAACCTGTTCGTAGACCCACGCAAAATAGCGCCAAGATCCCAGCCATTTAGGCAAGGTTAATCTACGTATTAGCTTACATTAAACACAGCGATTTTCACACTCTAGTTAACATTAACGCAACTGAAAATCTCGTCAGACAAAGTGCGTCGCCAACTGCGACTAATTTAGTTCAAGATCATGCGTGGAGTTGAGTTTTAAATTAGCTGAGTAAATAAAAAGCTGTACTTGCACTGCCCAAAAGAAGTCTCTGCGATCTTGGCTCTAAAAGAGTTTTTGCTGGCCTCGTTGCTGCTGGAGATTAGAAAGTGAAATGTGCGGAGAGTTAAGCCGAAGTTAGACTGGGGCAATGATCCACTAATTAGCGGACAGCCAAGAGACGGATGCAGGTAGTGAAATCGGAGTTGGCCATTTCAAGCGATTAACCTCTTGAGGAAAGCCAAGAAAATATAATAGAATTATCAGATGACATTCATTTAAGATATTTCGATAAAAGATTCTTTGTTCTAACAATTAACATTTTGCACTTTGCACTGCTTTTATGGGAAATTAAATTAAGTACAAGCTTTATACTTGATTTTGGAACTTTGCACTTTGCTTTCTTATAAAAAAATTAAATAGAAGCCAAGCTTATAGAACGGACGTCATTATTTTAACGACCGGGAGAGTAAATTTGTCGTGTCATCAAAACAATCTATATTTAGAGGCAGCATCAACTGAAATTGTTAAGTGGATTTCCAGGTAATTTTTCTACATTTTGAAAGGTAAATTAATTGTTAATAAACTAGAAATGATTTCACTACCAGTTTGATTTCTTCTAGTGCATTTACAAAATAAATTCTTTTAGAATCTCATATTAATAAATAAAGTTAAGCATTTAATTCTAATACAGATAACTACAATTCTTATATTCAGTTTCTTTATCAAATCTGAACAGAACCACAGTTGACATCACCGCCGCCTTTCGTTTTGGCCTTTGGGCATGACAATTTATTCCATAATTTGCGTGCGGGTACGAAAACATTTTGTTCCAAACCAAATATGGCCGGGAGCTCATCAGCTGCTTTCTAACTAGGCAATCCCCACACCCCATCGCCCCATCGGCGGACCAATCCGCTGACCATATTTAATGCATGTCACGTAACGCTCGCTCGTTTCCATTTCCATTTCCACAGTTAGTCATACCAGACATAAAGCTATATGTTCATATGCTATATGCCCGTATTCCAGTTGAACTAACTACATTTTTTGGAGCACACACAAGTTCAGAGTATTCTTTTTGGGGGCAACTCCAAGCTGACAATTAACACTCTGTAATAAAAGGTTCCAAGTGCTTTTTCGGGTTCGTTAAAGCCATTAAAATGTAAAAAATTCCCCGCGGGTCTCACATTATGCATTATCTGTTGTCGTTTATTATTATTTCTTTTTTTTTATTATTTACTTAACAATAATTTTACGTAGAAAAAGTCACAACACACGATTCGGATTGTTTGGGTTGATGGATACATAAATCATTTATATTTGCCCATTATCGATGGGTTAAATAAAGCAAACAAAAAAACTTTCGCAAAGCTGAGTTTCCAGCTTCGATAATGACGCAATATCGATATTGTCACTTTGGAAAGAACTGCTATATATGAGAGCCACTCATTCTTGATTCTCCATTCATGTCGTACGTATATATATCTATACTATATATATATATATATTCGTATATTCGGTTAACGCCTACCGCCAGGGCATTTTGATCGGCGATCGATTGCGACGTGGAATGGGGGCGGCAATGTGGGCGGTGGTGCTAATATTTGTGGTGGTGGCACGTGGTGGTTCGCGACGCCCTAAATATACAGTGGGACCTCCAATGGAAGAACAAGACGTTCCCCGGGGATTCACTTTCGCTGTGGCATTGTAGTGGCCACCAAAGTAGGTTGCAGGTTGACTTTGTCGACTTTGTGGTTTGTTGCCATAGAGTTGAACCCTCGTGGGAGCCCTTCCTCTGGTGGGTGGGTTAACCCCTGATCCTTTACCCTGATCCGATCCTATGTGCACCAGGGTTCTTCCTCCCTTCTGCTGCTGATTGAGGTTCAGATTCTGCTGATGATGTTGGTGACCCAAATTCAAGCGGGTGGGTGAGTTTTGCTGGCGATACCATCTGGGGTTTTGAGTGGAATTTTGACTGTGATTTTGACTGGGACTGGGACTCGTTATCCCCGTTCTGTTGGCCAGCAATCTGTGAGCATAATACTCTGTGGTAGGCATCGGTTTAGCCACTCCCACAGGTACAAATCTCCCTGGAGAATGCGGGGATATGGAGTTCTTGATCTCGATTCGTATCGAAGGAGCAGGTGAGGTCACAGGCGAGGGAGATAAGTGACGAACTGAAGGCTGTGCCACCCGGAAAGTCTCATTCCGTTTCACTGGCGATCGAGTGGCGGACCGGGAAGGACGATCCCTCAGGGGAGAACGCGACTGAGGACGGTAGTTATCATTATCGAAGACCAGGAAGTCCGGACGATTCTCTTTGGATTCACGACGTTCCAGGGGTTTCACATTAGACTGTTGAGCGGGGACTTCCACGAACCAGGCGGGATTATGAGGGGTTTCCTTCTGCTGCTGCAGCAAGCGATCCCTGAAGGATTTCCTAAAGCTATTTATCGTGACTGTCTTGTACTTCTCCCGCTCATCCTCCTCCCTCTGCTGATCCTCCAGGAGATCATCGTTCGAGTGGGTTTTCAACTGCTCCAGTTGCTCCCTCAAATGCGTGGGTGTTTTGCTCTTTCGATAGGTGGATGAATCGAAGCTGCCACTTGAGTTCGAACCTATGCTGGGTTGTCGATGGACACCAGTAGAATCTCCAGACTGAAGAGTTCTCAGGTTCGAGTGCTGTTCGTAGAGGAAGTTGAAGGGATCCGACTGGGCATCGTAGTCCTGCAGGCGATCGGCTCCATCACTGCGCCACTTGTAGTAGGTATTTGTGGCCGTGTCACTGGGATGGTGCTCATAACTGGCCACCTCCTCCGGCGAGGGAGTCTTCTTCCGCTTGGTGAAGGTACTAAACTTGCTAAACACCTTGGACTTCTTGGATTTCTTTTCCAGCGTGGAAGTGTTTGAGGCATTTCCCGTTTCCTCCTCGGAATTGGGTAGTATGAAGGTGTCTCCTCGCTGCAAAGTCGAACTGGTTGTGGAATCCCTTCGGTGTGTAGTTCCCAGGGATCCCACACCACTGATCACGCTGGCTGGACGAGATCCGGAGCGAACTGGCGTGGTGTCGCGCGATGAGGAGCGGGAACTCTTGGCCCGCGAAGAAGACGATAACGAAGATCGTATATTGCGAAAAAACGACATTACTAGATCACGCTTTTCCCTCGCTCCCTCTCTGATTAATTTTTATATATTTTTAAATCTCGGATCTTGGCTAATTAACCTTGGCTAAGAGCGACGCGATCCACGATCCACGATCTGCGATCTGCGATCCACGAACCGACGCTTTCAACTGCCGCTGAGCAACTGAGCACCAAAACTTCAGTTATTACGCGGATCACTAGAATTTCTACAGCTTTTTAGCCGCTCGCATGCCGTCTCTTTCTGGAAAAGTGTCGCCATCTCTCTCGCTTATTGCCTCGACATTCGACTTTGCCCGCCTCAGTTTGTTTTGACCAATTTAGCGTATTAACCTCATCATCGCGTTCCACACGCTTTGAGCCGCTTGCACGGGCATTATGTATTATGGCCATAAGTGTACCAGTATGTGTGTGTGTGCGTTCATCTCCAGCTGACTGTGTGGGTGTAACACACACACACATACACATGCAAAGGTATTATGTAAATGAGACCTTTTTCCATTCGGCATCGGAGTTGGGAAAAGCGTCGCGTTCGTAATTTATGCATCGGAAATCGCTCTAATTAGCCATCGCGAGCGGGCATCAACAGCTCATTTAACAAATTAGCGTTTACACCGGCATGCAAACATAACCACAATCAATAGAACTTGGCTACGATTTTAGAATCGATTATGGGATACTCAGTAAAAGTTGTTTAGGTATATCTTTTAAAGAAGGTAGTTTCAGGAAAGTGTTATATATTGGTGTAAAATAAATAAAATTGATTTGATAGCTGCCATTTATAATAATACAGCTGTATATTTTTAATTTTTCGTATTGTTTTCTTAGCTTTAATAATAATATTCAATAATTTATCATTTTATTTCCCTAATAATAATCTCAAATAATGTTTACATATGCATAAAAATCTTAACTTTATTTGGATTTATTTGTTGTTATACAAAAAGCCTTTTAAGTAATGTTAAAATGAGAATTTTAAATGGTCAATAATATTTCTTTGAATAACTAACTTTCAAGCATTTAAACAACTTGGCACTAATACGTGAAATGTTTATTAACCCTTATGTTAGTAACCGGGTACCCGGGTACCCCCCGCGGTATATCTGTGTGAAAAGCTTAAAGCAAGTTCAATATTTCATGTTAAGCTCTTAAATCGTCGTTTTTTAACTTAAAAGGAAGCTAGTTGCGAGTTCATTAAATTTATATATATTTTTTTTATTATATTTTTTTATGCTTAAACTTCAGCCATCGCCTCATTAGTAACCGGGTACCCGGGTACCCACAGTGGAAAGCATAGGAAATAAAGTGAATAAAATTTTTATAAATGCATGCAATATAATTAATTACATTGAACACACTGGACACGATTTACTGAATGTTTGTCACATACAGGTTGGCGACAATTGGCACAAGACTTGCGTGTCTTTCGCCGTCTTCTTATTGGCAAAGCATTGCAGACATAGCAAGATCCTATAACCATTTTTCTTCCGGTTTTATCTTTTGGAATCTCTGGACCAGGATTTACCACGACTGTTTCTGTCAATGCATGGCCTAAAATTCTTTGAATGGCAATCTTTGTTGAAAAGTGACGCATTATTTGTGGATTCGCGGTACGATTTTCAATCTTCGGCAGTGCTAGTTCCTCACTTAGCTTACGCATAAATTGACGACGTTCTGTCGTTTTTTTTTATCATTTTATTATTTTTTTAGAATAAATTATATATGTCGCAAGTGAAGAAATGTCTAACATATTGAAAAACATTGCCATTGGCCATCTCGAGGATCGTCGTTGACTGGTGTATCTCCGCACCATTTGGTCCATTGTGTCGACTCCAGTTTTATATTTATTATAGAAATGTATTATTTCTGGTTTCTTTTTAGCGTCATCACTATTTTTTTTCCCCTATATTGTCACTTACTATTAATATTTTAAGAAAAAAATATTTTGGAAAATTTTTTTAATAAAATAAACAAAATTTTTGATATTCAGAATTATGGGTACCCGGGTACCCGGTTGCTAAAAGACGTCGGTAAAGTTGGTTACTAACATAAGGGTTAAAAAGCTTTTCATAAGCTTAATACATAGATAACGAGCCAATATCTATAATAATTTTTTTTTTTGTTGTTATACAGCTTTTTTACATTTTTAATTTTCTATATTTATTATGCATGAAAAGTTCAAAGGACTCCAAAAGACACCTCCCATATTGGCTGTAATTACTTTTTATTCCTTATGTTGCTCAAGGTTCATTAAACTTTTGCAGCAGTCACAAATATCGATTCTTCAGGAAATATGTGTATGGCAATGCGGCTTATACGGATCTCAATCTAATATGGATTTCAAAGAGTTTAGTATTATTCCTGTATCAAAATCTGTACCCGCCTTATATGCCCCATCTAGTGATTTTTGCAACTGCCGAGTGTCAAGTCAAGTCGCCAATAGACAAAAGCCAATAGACAACAGACAACGACAAAGGCGACACCTGAGTTGAGTTCAGGTGTTAAGGTGTTGGGTGTTTGGTGTTTGGGTGCTGCTTTGTTTGAAGAGCTGAGTGGTTCCACGAGATGATTTGATTTTGATTTTTGACGGGGCTGATCAAATGCGAATACAAATACGATGACGTTGACGAAAACTGTGACCAGACAAAGTCTCTTTGTTCGCGACTAATGAGCGGTTCAGAAACGATCGAGTGTCGTGTGTGTGGGTTTTTTTACCATATTTTTTCGCTTTTTGGCGGCACTTTAATTCGATTCGCTTCCGATTTCTCACTTTGTGCCAGTCATTAGATTGTATCGCAGTGGCTGCGAGTTTCGATTGAAGTTTAATGCAACGTTGAACAACTCCGCAATTAAAGCATGCATATTTTAAGCACTTAATGACTGGCCACATGAATTCACATATATAATATATGCATCTTTAAATGGAACACAAAAGATTTTGCAGCCCAGCAGTCCCAGATGGCACGTAAATCAGTTGCTGAATTATTTGCCTGTTTTCCAAATTTAATCTCCTTTTATTTGGAATTCAGGTTTTCGCTTACACAATTGCCTACTTTTGGGCTTAATTCACGGCAGTGTGCAGCTGCTGCCTGAAAGTAGGCAATGAACCAGAAAGCCGACAGTTGCGTCAAATTCATGCATAAACAGCACGTGCGCGAGTGTGCGTTTGTATCTGTGTGTGTGTGTTAAACTGATAATTCATTAGCCAAATAATTGAATTTATTGGCCTTACATGCGGACAGTTTAAAGTGAATTATTATATGTTTTGGCTAATAAAAGAGTTGGTTATGGAAATTTGTTATTCAGTTTTGGTAATATTTTCCAAGGGAGGTTGAATAATAAAAGCATTTAAATATTTTATATATGTGTATATGTGTACAAAAATAATCTAAATTAGTTTTTATAAAAAAAATGTATTTCAGAAAGTAACTTAAACATTTTCCCGCAGAATTTATTTAGACATAAAAAGAAATAACTAGAAATTATTAATGTGTATTTTCACCAGTATTTTTCAGAAATAAATTGAATAAAATGCCTTTACACTATCTTTATTTCCTGCCTTCTCGACTCTGTTGTTTTATTCAATTGTTAAAACACCCAGGAACTGTGCACGTTTCGCAGAGCAAATACTTTTGACTGTTAACACAAACATACAACATCGTACACTCCGGACTGGGGCAATCTAAAATCACAGCGGGGCGCCTCAAAAGGGGGGAAGCTAGGAAAACTTTGGGGAAGGGCGGTGAATGAAAGTTCACGCCATTCGCAGAATCATGAGCCAGCATCTTCCGAACATAAACACTGCTCAGCCAGCAAAAGCAAAAGCAGCAGAAGCAGAAGTTCGGGGCAACCGCATCTGCAGGCGAGAGAATAAAGGAACAGAAGACTCTTGCCACATGCCACATGCCACATACATCCGTGGTTGCCAAATTGGTTGCCACCCGCTTCACCTTCTCAACTCCGAGAGAAAGAGAAATATTGCTGCGCCAAAATGTTTTTTGTGAAGAGGTTAATAAAATATGTATAACTGCAGGATTGGCACAAGAAACAAATTTAAACTTCAATGAATATCAAATTCGAAACGGCATATTACTCATACGACCCGTTGACTGCGCAAAAAGATTACGAATTAATCATTTAGAATGTGGTACTTGAGGGATGGCTCCCCATCTACTGAACACTTTGTTCTAAACATAAACATCAAAAGAACTATATTTTTAGCTTGAGGTAGGCTTACCAAAAAAAAAAAAAAAGGGAAGGAATATTGAATATAAACTAAAAACATTTTTAATATTTATTGCTCGTGTGCGAAATAAATCACTTGAAGAGAAACATCATCGCAGCATTGCGAAGAAAGCCAAAAGATTAATCATGAGGTCAATTCCCAGTAGCTTAAGTTGTTTATAAAACCGTTTAAATGCCTTTAAAGCATAAACATTTTATGATGTTCATTGCTCGATCATTTCAGATGAGTAAGCCTTTTAATAACAAAATTGTAATTTGAATTGGAAACTATGAAGTCTTTATAATAATAATCTAAAACTACAAATGGAAATGAATATATAGTAAAAACATTATCTCATAAATCAAAACAATACAGAGTATTAATGCTTTTAAATATTATTTAAATGCATCTTATTTAATGATACTTAATTTCCTCGCCTTATCTTTTCTTTTGCCATTTAAAATATGAGCAATTCATTAGTGGGTCAAAATGTCCCGATAAGAAATTCAATCTTTGAGCAAATAAATGTATATTGTTGCCCTAATATGCAACTATATGTATGCATAATGGCTTGTGTGCCAAAGTAATGGCCATTGGCCATTACTTTCCGCTGGACAAATGCATTGTGTGCAAAGTATCAAGTATAGAGATCCATATCTGTGTGGGTATATGACCGACCTACCACATAACATTTATCAGCTATTAAGTCATGCACAAACACAGATATTTACGCGAACACAGACAGCTGTGGGGATCCAATGCCAACGACAATAATATCACAAGCAAAAAATGAAATAAAAATAAAAATAAAAAGCAAGCAGGGTAAAAGCCACAAATAAGCCAAATTATGGGTGGGTGTTGAAATTGAAAATTGTGAATTTTGAATTGCGGATTGTGTTTGGTGAATGCGCTGTTTGCCGGACGGTT